GTCTCAAAACAAGATCAAAAAGACTTTTTGGCTGGACATAAGATTTTAAAACTTGGTAAGATGGACAGTTTTTGCAGTGAACAGAAACCATTCCTAAACTGGCAATGGCTGCACTCGAACTCTATTCTGCATAACTTGGAATATTAAAGTAATTTTGTTCATGATAAGATCATCATCTCTCTATGAGATGTGTCGACTCCCCCCTAAATAAGATAAATATATTCATGGTGAGAAATGAAAACGTAAAGCTCCGGGAGTTCAAGCTATGATTTCTGGTTCCACCAGGTGCACTAACAAAATACAAAACTCGTCTTTGCTTAAGCCATTAAAATTAAATTAAAATAAAACAATGTAGCCTTTCTTATTTTTGCAATTGCCATCTTTCTAATTTAGTTAAAAAACTAAAAATACACCAGACTATTTGTTTTTCTCATTTTATTGTGAAAAGGAAAAACCAAAGAATCATACAAGGTTCATCATCTTCTGTGTTTGCATTGCGTGTGAAAAATGATCATAATTYGGTCAGTTTTGCAGCTATTGAGTTCAAACGTGTTGTGGTTGTAGTTGAAACTCATCCTCATCACATAGTTTAGAGTGCTGACAGATCATACAAGATCTTTGTATAAAACTTTGGTGTGCTTTTGTGACACGTTTTCACCATCCTGCTCAGGTGTCTCTGCGTTCTGCTGCAGTGTCGTCATCTCCAGGTTGCTGCGAGATGAAATGATTAACTTCCTCACCCTCCTCACCCCTCCTGTCCTCAGGGGGAAACAGAGGAATATCACCATCGCCATGGTGGCTCACGCTCCCAGATTAGATTTGAGGCGAGTGTGTGAGTGTGTATGTGTGTGCGTGAAGGTGAGAAGAGGCCAATAAAAAAACACACACACAGTGAGAGGTCAAGTGTGCAGTTATTGCTTTTTCCTGTCTCTGTGGAAACCCAAGAGAGAGTTGCTACTGAACTGATGCTTGACAATGAACTTGGTGTTTGTGCATGTGTGTGTGAGAATGTGTGTGAGTGTGTGAAGTGTTATGAGGCAAATTGAAATGTCAACAGGACTCTATTTATGATAGGACTC